GGTGGGTATGGGGACAATTTTCATCTAGCAGGGCGGGGGCAGATTTACTATTACCCGCCCCCATGGGCCCCATTGCCATCCCTAGGAGAATTATATGGTTCAAATTTTGTATTATAATTCTGCTCTATATATAGAGAACCAAGAAATAAAATATATGTGTGTTCCGTTTAAGATCCTTGGACGTGTAGGTGATCTTATTGTGTGAGGAGGAGTTTTTCATATCAGTGGTATCAAAGCTATAGCAGGGAACACACAAAAATTTGAGACACCTTTATTTCATGGTAAGACAAATTTTATGATTTAGCAATGTACCATTCAAGATATTTTAGTGCAACAAGGTCTTGATCAAGCTTTAGAAGATGAAAAGCCAAATAATATCAATGAAAGAGAATGGAGTCAAATCCAAAAGAAGGCTGTGAGCACGATTTGGTTAGCTCTTACTCCTGAGATCAAGTGCAACGTGTTAAAGGAGACAACACCAAAAGCCTTGTGGAAGAAGCTTGAGAGCATTTATGCGTCTAAGTCGTTAACCAATCGCCTATGTTTGAAAATGGAGTTGTATCAACTCAAAATGGAGATGGGGGAAAATCTTCATGATCACATCAATCATTTCAATCAACTGGTATGTCAATTGTTAAATGTTAACGAAATTTTTTTTTGATGAAGAGCAAGCAATGTTATTGTTGGCTTCACTACCAATGTCCTATAAATCTTTAGTTCAGATGTTACTTGTAGGAAAAACATCATTGAAGTTAGATGAAGTGACATCCGCCCTAAGAGAAAATGAGAGAATGATGAAAAATGAGAATATTAATACTGAAAGTCATGTACTAGTCGCGCAACATTATGAGCAAGGGAGAAATAATTCATAGAGATAAGATGGACATAGAGGAAGATCAAATTTCCAATCACGTTTAGAACGGGATATGAGTAACGTGCAATGTTATTATTGTGGAAAGAAAGGTCACGTGCAATCAATGTGTAAAGAAATGAGAGAAGATCTTCAAAAATTGAGAATTATGAGAAAAGATGATGACAACTCCCAAGCTAATGTAATCCAAAACCTTCATGATGATGACGATCTCTATTTGGCAACTACTGGGGAAGTTGCTAAATCAAAATGGATAATGGATTCAGCTGCCTCAAAACACATTTGTAGAGATCAAACAATGTTTTATACTCTAAAAACTAATGGTGAGTTTGGTTGTCAATTTAAGTTAAGAAATGGTAGAAAAATGGAGGTTAAAAGCATTGGGACTGTGAGAATGAAACTTCATAATGGTGCCATCCAAACTTTTGAAAATGTGAGATATGTACCTTCTGCTGCATCTAATATAATTTCATTGGGAGAGTTGACATCACAAGACTACAGGTATGTTAGTTCAAAATGGGGATGCAAAGTGTACAAGGAGAAACGCTTGATATTGCAAGGACAAAAGAATGAAAAGAATATTTACTACTTGGAAAGACAAGTTTTGAGAAGATAAGTTATTTAGGAGTTTTAATTAAGGGAGGATTTATTGGGAAAATAATTCAAATTTCAAATAAATTGAGTGAGTGAATATTTAAGGAGATATTTTAGAAAATTGTAATCTTTAGGATATTATTCAGATTTACAAATTTTTATTTGTTTTGATATCTTTTAGGGATTTGTTTCCTATTTTTTATTTAGAAGAATTATATAGTTCAAATTTTGTATTATAATTCTGTTCTATATATAAAGAGCCAAAAAATAAAATATGTGTGTGTTTTGTTTAAAATCCTTGGACGTGTGAGTGATCTTATTGTGTGAGGAGGAGTTTTTCATATCAACTTGTACACATTTTATTATATATAATATTGGAAAATAAATTTAAGTATCGATTAAAAAAATTAAAAGAAACTAAAAAATAAAAATATACTGAAATCAGATAACTAATCAAGCAGAAATAAAAACTACTAATTTGTTACGATATACAAAACATGTGTCACAAAACGAAAAAACACATAATTTAATAAGAAGGAAAATACGTATAGAGGTTATTTTATTTTATTTTAAAAATTAAAGATTTAAAATTATAATATAAGAGATATAGTTTAAGAAAAGAAAAATGTTTTAACTCCTATCGACAATGTAATAGTTGGATTTATGTTTTGTTTTTTATGAAAGAATTTGGAACTGTGTTCAAGTATGGACGATAATTTTTAGGGGTGAGCATTAAACCGATACCCAAACAAAACCCGAAAAACTTGATAAAAAATATTGTTTTTGGGTGGGTTCGGGTGGGTTTTATGGGTAAATCGGGTTAAAATTTTGATTTTATACGGGTTATATTGGGCGGGTTCGGTTTTGAATTTTTAAACCCGCCAAAAACCGAACCCAACCGAAAATGAGATAAGTTTAAATTTTTATTACTTTTGTATAACTAAACAACAATGGTCCAAACTTAAAAATCTTTATTTCAAGTATAATATAGCCATCAATTTGTAACTTATTTTTTTCCTTTTTCTCATAACTTAGATATTTATTTTGTCTTCTCCTTCCTCATTCAACTTCTCAACACGCTAGTCCATTTTTAGAGTTATCTTTTTGCTTCTTTCTTTGTCTTTCTTTTCCATCTTCTTATCTCCATTTTGAGTACATTTTGTGTGACTGTGATTTCTTATGATTTTGTAATCTAACTTTATATTTCTTTTCCATGTAACAACTATGAATTTTGTTATCTTTTATTTTTGCTTCTTTAGTTTGTAAATGTTTCAACTACGAATCTACTTACACCATCTATTATCACCTTCATTCTATTTTTATACACTATTTTAAAAATATTTTTTATCGTTTTAAGCTTCATCTTCCTTAAGATAAATTGGTTTACAAAAAAATTCAAACCCGATTATACCCACCCGCTTAAATCCGAATCCGTTTCAACCCGAACCGCCTCAAATCGAAAGCTCAGTCGGTCGGATATGGGTCACATTTTTTCAAAGTCGGTTTACAATGGGTTAGACATTTTTCACCCGAACCCGACCAAACCCACCCGTTCCTCACCCCTAATAATTTTATTGAAAAAATATGGAAAAGTTGGTAACTCTAAAATACAATGGCGGTGTACATAGAACTTAGAAGGTGATAAAATTACATACAATACAGTGCATCATTGGCACGATAGTTAATCCGGCGCAGGTGGTATCACGTGGTGGCACATGCAGAACTGACAGACTGGGAAAGAGCAGATTTCATTTATTAATAAAGCCGAATGATTTGATTTCTTTTTACCACAAAAAATAATAAATAAAAAAAATTGATTTTTTGACATTTGATGAAGCTTGACTTTTCTCTATCTCTGTGGGTCCCTTATCCACTTTTCCATGCCCAATTCCTCTTCTCCATTATCAACTTTATAATTCACTCTTTTTTAAATACATTCAAATTTATTAAAAACCATCAATTCAGGACAACTATTCTAAATACAATATAACATCCACTAAGTTTAGTAAAATAAATTACAATTAATTAAAAATATATATTTAAAAGAACGTATTATTAGTATCATTTTTCTTCTCACCATTCCATTCTTCAATGTTCCCTCTTTGTTTTTTTATTTTATTTTATTTTATGCATTCGACTGTCCCAACAGATAGGATTTTTTTTTTTCTTTTTTTAATACAACAATTACTTTTTTTTAGATACTAGACACTGGACAATACGCGGATAAATTAAATGCAAGGATATATAAATAAAATTTTGACACATAGAGTTACATTTTACATTATTTGAATATTAGCTAGATATCATTATCTAGTTGAGAGTAAAAGGTTACTCAATTACACCGAATTAAAAATAACCGTAAAATACATTATTAAAATAAATCAAATATTTTTCCATATATCATGACTGTCTATTTATTTTAACAATGGATCTAACAATCACTTTTCATCCTACAGGAGTTAAAGATTCTTTTTTATCATTTGCCTTAAAATTCACATCATTAAATTTTATAACAGAATTAAAATGCTACAACAAAGTATTGAGAAGTGAAAAATATTAAAATAACATTCTTTTATAGAAGTGTTTCCACGAATAAAACTAATCTTAATTACAACTGATGAAGTAGAGAGATATTTTTAAAATCTAAGATGAATGATGTTCAACATTATTATATTTTATGATTCAACAAGTTATTGCATAAGTTGGTAAACATCAGGAAAATAATTAAAAGTTGAACAAAAAATTCATTATATATCAATAATTTTTGCACCCTTTGCCGTTTGTACCCGTTAACTGTACACTTTGAAGCATAATAAATGTCTCAAGACCTACCAAACATGTAAAATCTACATGCAATATAAGTTAGGAATGTGTGAGATTTGATGAGTAATTATTTCTTAAAGAACGATCATATCTTTTAAATTTCTTTATAAAACCACATTTTTGAAATAAATTACTGACTTAAACACAAAATGTACCCTTATTTTATTGTTTAATTGGTTGGGTTAAAATAAATTTAAAAAAATGAGAAAACTATAATAATATTCACTGGTTGATTAAAAATAGAGAAGAAAATAATCACGAGATTTAAGAAAAAATGGAGAGTGACAAAAACATTAAATATAGACTTATTTATATCATTATATTAGAAAGAAAATATTTAAACTAATTACATTTCATTTTCATTTATTTCTCTTAATTAAATTGTCTTCTCTTTTTTAACTTTCTCTATGTGTGCAAACAAAAGAATGCAAGTGTTTGTAAGAGTGGTCCAAGTAGTTTTTAGGAGCAGCAAACATGCTGCTATGTTTCAATTTGATTATCATTTCCTAATTAAATTTAATGCGTTTTATAGACCGTGCGATCAGATCTCATGTGTAGTAATTTGCATCACCGCCATGATATCTGTGCCGACACACGTGTCAGATCTTGGTTCTCCACAGTGAAGACAACTTTCTACTCCCACACACACCCAATAAATGTTGCATCTAATCCCCACCCTTCATTCTAATATAAATACCCACACATCACTTATGTTTTGATCCCAGCATCTCCTCGAACATCCCTCTTGATTTGTAGTGTTGTTTTGTGATCAAGACGAGGGGTTGCGGGATCATAGTGTGTGAGTGTGCAACAATGGCTGTGGCTAAGTTCTTTGCTGCTATGATCCTGGCGCTTATTGCCATGTCCATGCTTCAAACAGTGGTTGGTCTTTAATGTCCAAGAACCACACACATTTATACACAAGACATTGTCTTTTTTTATTTTTCTGGGTATCACTATGTACAGTGGCTAGAATTAGAAAGGCTCTTACAATTGAATGGTTTGTTTGATTTTTCAGGTCATGGCTGCTAATGGGCAAGACCTGTATGAAAACAAGGTATGTATTTGATACTCATATTCCAACCTCTTCTTCTTCTTCTTCGTGGGGTGTAATGTAAAGAATCAAAAATGGGGTCTTGGGGTTTTGGTTTCTGAGGCGTGGATTAACTAATGCTGCTTAGTTTGTGTTTCTTCAGAGCAAGTTTGGAAGTGGAAGTCTCAAGAGTTACCGTAAGTAAAGTTGCTTTCTCCGTATTGTCTTTTTATGGTATGAAGCAATGTAAGTGTTGTGAGATCATTTCTCCAAGATTTGGACATCAAAATGGTGGCAACACTGATAATGGAAGAAGGAAGTTTTTTAAGAACATTCCCAAAAAGCTCGTGGAGCAGATCTTGGATTGTTGTTTTCTTAATTATGACAAATTATACTCGCATTATTTTGTACCTCTTTTGTCAAAGGTCTGAACTAACTAAAATATAAGTATTGCTAGTATTTGTGAGTTGTGACCCCAGTCTTCACAGTCAATTTTAGTTTGATTGTAGTCAAATTTTTTGTTTTGGGTAAAAGCCTACAAGATGTTTGTTTTGGAGTGTTTTGACTGTGGTATGTGAAAAGAGGCTAGTCAAATGACCATGATTATTTACATTGACAATAGTGCTTGTTTGTTTATTACCAATGTTCATGATATGTTTCTTTTTTGGAATGTGATGTGATATGACCAGAATGCCCTTCACAATGCTCGAGGAGATGCAGCAAGACCCAATACCACAAGCCCTGCATGTTTTTCTGTCAGAAGTGCTGCAGGAAATGCCTGTGTGTGCCTCCGGGGTATTATGGTAATAAAGCTGTGTGCCCTTGCTACAACAACTGGAAGACCAAGGAGGGAGGACCCAAGTGCCCTTAAGCTTCAACTTCATCAATCAATTGTTGCTTTCTTATATATTTATAATTTCCTTCCTTGTGCCCAATTAATGCACTAGCTTACTTCCCTAGCTACTATATATCTGCTCCAAGTCCTAACTATATGGTAGCCCCCTTTTGGGTCTGTGATATTCATATATGCTTTTATGTATTTTGGGATGTCCTTTTGAAGGCCACATCTGCTGTATCACTCCTTAGGGCTTGTTTGCCTTTAATGAGAGTGGCTTATTAATGTTATCTGCCAAAGTTACTGCTACCTTATTACATTGTCTTGGTCAATTATTTTTTCCTACAACGTTAATTTCTGGTCTATTAACTAATTTTACTCACGGTATTATAATTATTATTAATCTCTACTAATTAATTTGACTCATGATATTATGATTAGCATTAGTCTAATAAATTTTTTGTACACGGCAAAATTTAAATACAACTTTTTATTAAATAGGTTGTCCTTACAACATGTTTCACCACGATGCTTGCAAATTAACCGATTATAAGAATATTACATGCTTTTGCAATGGAAAGAATGAATGGTGTTAATTTGTAATAATGAAATTGGGTTACTGAAAATGACCTAGTTACTTACTTTACCGTTATCACGAAGAAGAGTATTTTTCTGTTAGTGTAATTCATAATTATGAGACCCCTATTCTCTAGTAGAAGCCCAACATCTATAATGGATCTGAGGATTTCCTTAAAGAGGCCTATATGTGATAAGGCAAAGTGGTGCTCTCAGGGTGTGACGCACCTTTCTCTCAAAGTTTATGGGCCATATATTCAAGACGTGTACTTTTGTTTTATTTTTCTTCATAAAGCAAAAGGTGCCGAAAAAGTAAAAATCAGTGACGGTGACCATGTAACTAGACGAAAATCTCAATCCCACCTTTGTTGTTGATGACATGAGGAGATTAATGTAAAGTTCTATAAATTGTTATAAGAGTGATCCAACTGTTTTGGCCGAAAAGAAGAAAATGGAGTCAAAATAAGAAAAGTATAGAAACTTTGTTAGCATTTCTCTTGATTGGAAATGCATGCATACGTTGGATATGTCTTTGTCAATTGTCATGAAGATTTATCATAATTACGGAAAATTCTGTGTTTGACTGAGAATTTATTTAAAATTAATTTCGAAATAAAGTGATTTATATTTAATTTTTATTTTAAAAGTAAATTAATAATAAAACTCAATTTTTTAATCTAATGCAAAATTAATCAAATGGGTCAGTTGTGACTTGGACTCCTGGCGGCTAACTTGGGCCCAAAAAGATATGTACAGTCCAACATCTTTAAGTTCTTTTATTACAAAAACTTAATTAGTTTATAAAAATATAAAAAATTGTTATCAAAGCTTATTAGTTTGTGCTTATTAATTAGTAGCACTTTTTGGATGTATATAAGTAGAAATTGTATGTAAGATGAATGAGCATCGATAATAATAGATAGTCTTCACAACAAGTTAATATAGATCATGTTGTTATCAAGAATTGATTTTTCTTTATTTTGCTTTTTGTCTAGGTTGACATTTACGATTCTCTTATGTAATTCATATCTTGTTCTCTCTAAGATATACTAAAAGAGAGTGCGTATACATAAAAAGGATCATGAAGATCTAGTTAGTTAATGATTTGTTAGAGTTTGAGATTATGAATCGAAGTTCTCCCATACCTATCTTGTCCCTCTTTATTAATAGAGTTAATCACCTATACACTACCAGTGTAAAGTTTTTTTTACACTAGCATCCAATTATATCTTTTAATTGTGCCATGTCACAGTAAACACATTTACTTTTAATAGTGACATGACACAATTAAAAGATATAATTGGTTGCTAGTATAAAAAAACTTTACACTAGTAGTGTACATGTGATTAACTCTTATTAATAATAGTCTTATTTTATGTTAGTGAGATAGGTGATTACCTATTGAAAAGACAGTTAGCCGATTACCTTATCTTCTTGAACAATATAAATTACATATCCGTCACGATAATGAATTGAATCAAAGATTGATTTTGGGGAATGATGCGCATTACTGTGAACAATGACAAACTCAAATTGGTGGTGGTTAGGGTAATAGGTTGAAGCATAACATGGATGTTGGGAATGATGTGATCAATATGATTGATAAGTATTAGGATGGTATGTTGGATCATAAGAATGATGTCGAGAATAATGCATATTGTCATGGGTAGCAACATGTTTAGATCTCTAAGTAGGAATATGGTGTTCTTTGCTATCATCTGTGTTGACATAATTAGAAGAATTATGAAGTTGTCGGAATTGGGCTATCACGTTATCATTTTCTACTCTTAGTTCTTGAAGATTAGCATCATGTTGATGGTGCATTGCTTTAAAGGCTTCTTGATTTTGTTGTCTTAGCAATTCAATTTGCTCAACTAGTTGCCAAACAAATGCACTATCTTCCATGGTTGAACTTCCTTGTCCTTCTAACTCTAAAATTTAGCAATTTCACATACTTGACTTCTAGTAGAGACCCATAAGTGGTCGAACAAAAGTTTACTTCAACCTCACAGTGGGTGCTAAAATGTTCTTACCAAGATGTAGCAAGATCCAAGTATGTGAATCTCCAATCTTCTTCTAAGATGACGTTTTTGAGATCTACCTTTTTTTTCGATCTCCTTTGATTTCAATCATATTTTCTTACCAAAATGTAGTAAGATTTGAGTATGTAAATATCTAATCTTTGTCGTTCCGATATACCTAAAAATTTTACAACATTCAAGAATCGAGACTAATGATAATTTATAAATATATTTTCTTTTTGAATTTATCAAAGAAAGATTTTAAGGACAAAATTGTAATAGTCTAATAAACGTCAAAGCAAACAATATTTGAAATGTATTACTCTTAATAATGACAATAGACTTATAATCAGAATATCAATATCAACAATAATATTTAATAGAAACATAATGGGAGGGAAGGGTTATAAAATAGTTAAAAGCGACAATATTTTAGACACATTAATCCCAACTTATGGTGAAATTAAATCACACTATTAAGCATAATATTTATATCTCATAGATAATCGAAGCATATCCGGAGGAAAGGGCTATAAAACAGTTGAAAGGTTTGTTTCTATACGGAGTCCATGTTTTGGTTTTTTACTTACTAAACCAAACTAAAAGTAAGTTTAATTAAAAGCTGAAGAAACATGAATTAGTAGTTAAAGATGCTAGCCTTCCACTCCTCTTTCCAGGATCGCTGCTGCTTCAAGTTTTGGTGATCGAAGCTATGGTTAAGATTCAGAATAAGACACTCTATTCACCCAAATATGGATCTATACGCTGCGATCTCTTTCCC